AACAGAGTATGATTGATATTTGTCACACATTGGTAATTGAAACGAGATGAGAAAAAATCGCTAATTAAATCTGTAATTTTTACATGAATTTGTTGAGAATATTTTGTACATGAAAAGTAATTATGGTTAACTATAGTTTTACAAGATACTTTTAACGAGTTCATATAAAAATTATAGATTTATTGTGTCGGTGTTTCTCTTTTTCTCTCGAGTCCTTTCATTTACGCATTTGTGACAAATATTCAATCATATAGTGTGCGAAAGAAGAGAAAATTTCCTATCAACTGACAAAAAAAAAAATTCTTTTCATAACGTACTTATCGACGAGTTATTAAAGAGATATAGGGATCAATATTTTGTGTCGTTTTTTCGAAATTTCATGAAAACAGGTGGGGAGGATTCTTTTTAAGGATACTTTTCTTTTCTGTTGCATCGTTTTGTTTCTGAATGTGTGATAAAAATAAGTTATATACGATTCGAAAGAAGAGGAAAAGCTCGTACGTTAATTGGCGAATGAAATTATGGAATAGGAATGCTTCTGTATACATGAAATCATTTCATAAAATTCTTCTAGAGTCCCGAAAACTTGTTTTTGTGACACATTCAATAGTATGTCAAAGTTATCCTCTAGAGTTTCTTAGCTATTTCAAGTTTACTATCAACGTGTATCATAAGTATATTTAGTTTGAATTCATTTTTGATATAAATCTGTTGGACAACAAAGCCCAAATATTCCATCGTACTTCGTTGATACTTAAATTTTGAAGCACAATCACGTAGTTAACTTTTCTAGCCAAAGAAACTTATATAAAATGAACTCAAACTAAGGAGTACGAAATTTCATCTATTTCCTCTTCGGATACGCCGCATACTACGTTCAATTGGTTATGTTCCATAGTGACGTTTATTATATTATTACTATTCTTTTAACGAAATCAAATATAAACTTGTTAACTATTGATATGGCAAGGTATAAGTATCTAACTATTATTAAGATGTCTAAGGTTTTTGCAAAGCGCTTCTTATTATAAATTTTTACTGTAGTTTATTATAACATTAATACAATACAAAAAATAACTCTTACAGAAAACAAATCATTTCACTTCTCTACTGTGACTATTTTTCATTCGATGTTTTGATATAAAACAAAAATACTTTCATTGAAAAGACATAATTTATTTCAGCATATGCAAAGCGGATTTAAAAGAAAATACGTTTTTCCTTATAGGCATCTTTATAAAGATTAGTAGTTATCTACTCTTTCAAAACTTCAATAATAACACTATGCGACAAGTGTTTATTATATTTCAGTATATATATATATATATATCATTCAATTCAATACATTTGACTTGAATAACATGTATATGTGGAATTATATAAACAAAAAATTTGCCATAAATTAATCTAAATAAACAAGGATAATCTTCATGTTTTTGTCTGACAAGACGTATTCTATTTTCTTTTATTACTTATAAAGTAATCGGAAACAAAAGAGAAAATCGTCTTACATGCCATAGATTAATTAATAATTTAAATCTTCAGTAAAATTTCTCAGCGAATTACTTCTGTTTTATATAAATTTTATAGTCAAGCGATGCATATTGATATGAACTAACTACACTATGATGATGATTATTGTGTGACTAATAAAAATAGATAAACTTATATTTTAACAATTTACGATTTAAAAAAAACTAATCCAAACTCTTAAATTTCATTCATTTTCATAATAGCAAAGTCAAGAAAACTCTTCCATAACTACTCAATGTTTAACGATATTACCTCATTCTCGGGTTTCTCAAGAACAACTGAACTAAAGATTCTAAAACTTTCAGAGTGAATTAACCTCGATTAGTATAGCAAAAGCTGTGATAGGCTCAAAATTCTCGGATGCTTCTTCTTGTGAGATATAGGGAATACACGAGCCAAAAATGATTGAAAGTCCTCCCATGCAAACAGCGATAATTCATTTTTTCTTAACTGATGTTTTTTGTAACAATAAATTGGGGTGTGCATTGTTTTTCTCTGAAAAATATTGTTTCCTTCACTTAGAAGAACCAAAATACCGAAAGCTCTGTCACAAGATGTATTTTTTTTCTCGAAGGCAAATTTTGTAAGGTTTGCCAAAAATCACAGGAACACTATTTTAAGAAAAAAAACAGTATATATACATCCTAATTTAGTCCTTGGTGTCACACAAAAAATTTTAGCTCAATCGATCGAAGTATCTGAGTGAAAGAAAACTTCAATTTTTTCAATTCAAAGCTTGATTTTAAGGAAATTTTGAAACGAAGCGTAGTTTTCGCTATTTTCTTTGTGTAAGTTTGAGTTTTTACGTTTAAAAACAATTTTTCGATCGTAAAATACAATCAATGATGACGACATGTGGAGAAGGTACCCTTAATTCTGCAGTATTTTGTCTAGACTGTTGCGTGTTTCCTCATTTAAAAATAAAATAAAATAGAATAGTATGGAAAAATGTTTTGAATAAGAATAAGATCAATGCAACGATAACTCGATATTCGATCATTACAACGCCATTGGTATTATTCAACTCGTTTTCTTTCATATAAAACACATATTAACTCGGTCACGAAGGAAGAAAAAAAGAGAAGGCAACGGTCAAATGACGAAAACAATATTTAAAAAGTATACATTTATGAAGAAATAAAAATAACACAAGAGATTTCATTACAATCGATTTTTCAAAACTATGACACATTTATTTTGAAAGGATATATTGAAAAGACAGCTTACCTATTCTGAAATAAATAGAAAGATTTCCTTAACAAAACATAAGAAGATGTGTCTATTAGAGTGAGTACACTTTTGATCATTTGAGAAGTAATACGTATTTGGTAGTCAGTATATCCATACCTATCGACTCTTAACTTTGTGTTTTTTTCGTATTCTACCCTGTAACTCACATTCAATCTTTGACGTTCTCGACATAAAACGTCATTCTTATCATTTAATTTATCGATTTTCAATAACTACGCCCATTTTTATTCTTGTTTTCTTACGCAATAAAACTTCACAGATTTTTATTTTTGACTATTTACATTGATATTATAGATTTATCATCACAATGTAACTTCAGACGGACATTTGACTAAAAACGAAAATTCCATCTTTTCAAGTTTTAAATATAGGGAAATATAATTCGAAATATAATCTATCTAATTGTATAAATAACTTTGTTATAACTTTCAAAGAAATTGACAAACTAGTTCCCCAAAACTTAGCCGGAAACTTGATATTCGACAAAATTAAACTATTCGACAGACAAATCAAATACATTTTCTACTTTCAAAAGAAGAGCTCTATACAATGGTTAAAAATATGTTTTTATTCGAATGTTTAAATTTTGAGAAAACAAAATAATATATTTTTTTTCTAGTGTCGTTCAAACAGCTAGCCCAGTAAAATGAGCAGTTCAATTTCCAAACTTTTTCGAACTTAATTAGAATGTGCTTCTATCGATTGTTTGTAATGCCTGTTAGCGCAAACGTTCCTGGACTGTACAGTGCGTCTCTATAATACTTAACTTGTTCAGGTATTTTTTTCAGTTTTTCTGACTTCGAAAAAATAGTATGGTTGAAATCAGTGCATTGAACTGCATCGAATGATGTATAAGACAAAACAATTTTGAAGAAAAAGAATTTCTCGACGAATGAGGGTGAGGATCGCTCTGATGACTTCTTTGTTGAAAAACTTTTTTTCTTAAAAATTCTTTTCTCCATCATATCTAATATATTTTGAGCGAAAAGACCCGTTTTCAAGTAAGAAAGTTATATATCCGTCTGCGATACGAAAAATGCACACTGTGATCATAACACTCATTTTATTATTATTTTAAGGATAATTCCCTCTTTTGGATCATTTCAAGTTTTCAGCGACAGTAGCACTTATTGGGCTCAAATTTTTACCACAGATATGCTATCGAAAATGATGGAAATTAAGTTCGAGAAAAAAATTTTAAGAGCAGGCCTTCAGGAGTTTTTGAAGGGGTCTGTAAAAGCTATCAGGTCCGTTTACAATCTCGGTCATATTTTGGTCAGTCAAGCTGGAATTTTCAGAATATATATCGGAGCTGTAGTAGAGAGACTTTGGTAAAATTTTCAGTTCCATATCATAAGATTTTTGCAAGCTATTCAATAAGCAAGGGTTAAAAATTGCTCATTTGGCAAGCCAAAATCTCTCTGTGAGCCTTCATTTGCAATCCTTCATTTTCTTGTTTCTTTGAAAGAGCATGTCAACGCATATTGACGTTGTCTTTCAAACAAGAACAAAAGCCGTTGACTACAATGAAGTTTCTTCGAGAATTCTCGAATCCACGATCAAAAATAAGTACAAACAGAGAAAAAAGTGAAGAAGATTTTCGACTTTGACGGAAATTTCTAGAAAAAAAAGATCTGCCAAATAAAAATGCATGTTATGAAAGATCAAAGCTTAGACTATCTTCCTATGAGTTTATCTCAATTTTCATGTTTTTGATGAAAACCGATATTTTTTTATAAGCTCAGAGTTGTTGCAGGCTGAATAGTTTTTGAAGATCTCTTCAGCAACCTCTGAAGGCTTGTTTTTTGTATGATTTTCTCAAATATGGCTCCCATCATTTTTGATAATAAAGCTGTGGTGAAAATTTGAGGTTGATCGGTTAAACTCTCGCGAAGAACCAGAAGTGGTTTAAAAAGGTAGATATTCTTAAGACAACGAACTTCGAATTGTAAAACAAATACTTGATGATCTTTTTCAAGTTAAAATCTTTGAAATATTTCTTCAAATGAGTTTCATTTATATAATCCTAAAATCCTGTTCTACCCATAAAAAAAAGTACATTTAAAATCTATTATAATTGTCACCCATTATTTTGTCACAAAAATATTAAGACAACAAAAAGACTATGTCTAAATATTATTTACACAAAAAAAACACAAACATATAACACTAAAATTGATTTACTAAAAGACAAAAAATAACTAAATAAATCAGTATCAAGAAATATGAAGCAATGATTTCATCAATGGTAACAGTTCATTCTCGTCTGTTCTTGATAAATTCTGTTCCATATTATGTCGTAATCTTTTTTCCATCTTTTGCCATGTTAAAAATCGTGTAATAATTTTATTATATATGCGAAAAGCTTGTTCAAAACCATGTATTGTTTCCATATATTTCCATAATAATTCTAAATAATAATTCTGTGCACGATAAACAGCCATACCATCATTAAGAATAGGTTCAGGTACACCACCACCTGTTGAAAGACCTTTCGTTAGAAAAAGTACAACAAGGACTAATTGTATTATTTTATAATCATATAATCTAATATGTACAAATGATCGAAAGAGTTTTTTAACTTTTAAACAAGTTTCGCTTCCATGAATTATTTGTAATATAGATGAATTCCATGGCGCATCAGTATAAGTTTCTCGAATTTGTTTCGTATCTATGTTAAATAAAAGTGCACAATTAAGAATAAAAAGTGGCAAAAGATTATATTTAGTTAAAATAAGTTTATCATTAACATGTAATTGATTAAATTCAGGTATTTGTTTAAAAAATGTTAAAAAACGCAGTGCTGATACTGAACGAGAATTTAAATATTCGAGAAGAGATGTTGCATATACAGATGGATTCCATGGAAGACCATCACAAGTAGCTAAAACAAAGATAAAAAAATCATTGACTTAGAAATGTTTCCAGTGGATTTATTAGCGAACGTTTCAGAAACGTATTGGCAAAATTCCGAAACTCCTAGAAAAACCGAATAATCGTTTTTACTATTGAGTACGAAACGTTTTTCTCTAATAGATATTTACAGTTTACTGCAATCAAGTTTTTTATTGTTGCCGTTATAATGGGATTTCAGAAGTTCACCAACAGACCTTTCGCCACAGGCAAGTGTCCTATTGGCGATAATCTTACTGATAATATTCCTGACACCTATTATTATCGGAAAAAATATCATCCAACCAATGAACTAATTATAGTTAGAAAGAAACTAAAAGGTAGATGTTAAGAAATTCATTTTCAAGTGAATTCAATTAGTACGTATGAACATTTTTCTAATTGAACACTATCGATTGGTTTTTGTTGGTTTTCTCTCTCTGATTCCTGATCTATCGAACAAAACAGGTTTTTGGGCGTGGCCTAACTAAGAAATAATAAAAAATTAAGAGTAATGAAAATCAATTTGTAAATAACTCACTATTTTCTGGTTGTGATCTTCATATTTTGTTCCATTGATAGAAAACAAATATTATGGTTTTCTTATTTGAACCAAATACAGAATATACTTTTTTCTTGTCTATTATATATAAAATCAAATGTTGAATAAGAATAGGAGTTAGCTCTTGTTGTCTTCTTTGCTTTAATTATCTCTAGTGTTCAAAAAAATCCCCTGAAATTTGTCCTCTTACCGAGCTCTCCATAAATAGATGAAACGTTTTAATGTAGAGCGGAAAACGAATCATGTCGCCATACCCTCAATATATGAATCTCACGTTTCAACTAATATTATACGATGTTTTATTCTCGAGATTCCGACGATATAAAATACTAATTTTTAATGCGTGCATCTTAAAAGAGACAATGAAAGACTTATAATGAATCATTATCTAGGCGTTTTACACCTTAAAAAAGCTCGCAAATCTCGATGAATTATTCAACATGCTGGAAATAGTAATCCATGGATATTTCAGGAATTTCTCTACATTTTTAGAAAGTACTAACCGAGTTCAATACGTTTTTCAAACGCAATTTGAACAGATTCTATACGTTGTATATCTTCTGAACTTAACATAGCTTGATTTAATTGAAATAATGATTGTGGTAAAAACTCCATAAAATCTGTATAAATCATATTTGTATTGTTGGATGTTAATAACTGAAAAGAAAGATAAATTAAATTGATATAAAATAAAATCTATTTTACATGAGTTGGATATGTTGATGATCGCAACTCAAATCTTTGTTCATATGTTTCATTATTTGTTTGCGATATAAAATTTTGATTTTCTTTTGTTTTATAACGATTTTGTACTTTTTCTTCCGCCTAAAAACAATTCGAAAATGATTTTGTTTTTGATGTTTCTTATGCTTAAATCAATACTTTCAGTAGTCGATCACGTTTCATTCCATTAATCAGACATTTGGCTAGACGACATGCTGAGCAATGTCGTCGTGTTTTGAATGTTATTTCACAAGTATTCTTATGACGACAGTGAAATGCTCTCTATATATGGGTATAAAACAAAAAGTAGGTCGAGTGAATACATGAAATTATTTTATTCAAACAAGAACATATTTCTTACGTACCAGATCTTTTAGTGCATTACGACGAAAGAAGATTTTGCAACTTTCACATGTGATGACACCAAAATTGCGTCCTAGAGCTAATGATCCGCAAATAGCACAAGTGAATGAAGCAGTTTTCGTCTTTTTATGATTTGTTGATTGATTATAAGCTAGTGGCTGCAAACATAATATATGATTTGTATTCTACATGAGGAGAAAGATTTTAGTTGTTACCGATGAATTATTGTTTCCTTGACATTCTAAAAGAAGTGTTTCACATGATGATGGATTATTGATAGTTCGAATTTGGTCAATAATTCTTTCATCACTAGTAATGATCATTATTCGACGTTGAGTGGAATTCGTTGCAGTTGCCATTATTGAAAATTTTTTTTTTTCTGAAAAAAACACTTTCGTTGAAATAAGACTATCAATTACTTAAATAATCTTATTCACTAATAATTTGAATTTTTTTTATAAAAATTTATATAGATTAATGATGTATTAAAATAAATTTACAATCGACTTAAATTTTTATCTTCTAAAACCAGAAAACAAATCTATTTGTACAGATAAATTAGATTTTTTGATATATTTTCTTTCGAATGAATTTTATCTTGCTTCGACATCCACATTGCATTAATAAAAATTATTAGTATCTTATATTAATTATCCCATTAATTAACCTTTGGTTTGAAGAAGACGATCATAACTATCATGAAAGGAATTTCACACACCTAAATATTAATTTTTAACTTTATATTGTAATATAACAATTTACCCAAAGATGAAGAGGAAACAATTAGAATATTTTTGCACTTAAAGATTAACAATGAACCTACATGAAAACCTACATACATGTCGTTTTTATTAACATAGTCCTAGCTTGCGATTATATCATGAACTGAATTCAATTAGTTTATATTGCGAATATGTAAGATAAAAAGTAATAAATGTTCAAACTGTGAGACTGATTGTCTTGTGAAGCATTATTCTAACAGTAGGAAGCAATAAAAACAGCTAAAGAAAAGAAGTAAGACAGAAAAAAGAAAAAGAATAAGGGCAAAAAGCAAACATCAACAACTATGAATAAGAAGTTTCATTAATATTTTTAAAGATATGAAATAACAAAACCTAGCAGTTACTAAGAAAATATAAAAAAAAAAACGCAATTCTTCTGCTAAAATTAAAAGAGATAATTACGTTAGAACGTAACAGGTACTCATATTTGAAATAAGTTTTTTCGAAAAACATAAAACTAGAAGATATTAGTACATTGAGGACGACTTCTTTCTGGATGTCGTGTTATCTTCTTGTTTATTTTTGATACAGCATAAAACTACAGTACCTGTGGAACTGTTTTTAGTTCTGTGGAGATGAAACTACAAAAAAAAACAATTACTCTTATTTGCTGTCTTTCTAATAATAATAATGCGACACAAAGCATTGAATTTGTTGTTCTGTACGAATCCTTTTTAGTGCGCCGCCAAACACAGCAGCATTCATGGAGTCTTTTTTCTGACTTCATCAGTGTACTCATGAAAAGTTCATATTTTACGTTGCGGTACTCAGGAATGAAAAGTAAAAAAGATATTCATTCAAACGCAAAATGAATATATTGAAATCGAATAGACATCATTCGTTTTCTGAATTGATGCACAAAGCTGCATTTTGTAAAAGCAAGCTCGGCGAAAACACAATTTTTTGTAGTCTAATGAATATACTGAGATTGAATTGACAGCACTTGTGTTTCCCTCTTAACTAGTAGCTTCAGTTTGTTTATAGAGAGTTCGACAAAATTGGATTTTTGGCAACATTCAAGATAACTAAAACAAAAACTAGAGTAGAATTCTCTTGATGATGGTTTTTGCAATGTTGAGTTCCAGTTTCTTTCTGACTTCAATCAGCTAATTGCTCGAAACGTAATTTTTCCGATTATAATGACAAAAAGACAAATCTGATTTCAATTAACTGTAAATATCTATTAGAGAAAAACGTTTCGTATTTATCATAAAAACAGTTGTTCGTTTTTACCACAGAACCATATTCAAAATTTCGCAGTCGAGTACCCAGGCAGACAAAACTTTCAAAAAACGCGTTTAAACGCACAATCGGGAACCGCGACTGTGATCCATTCACGCTCATTAAAAAAACGCAAGTAAGGACTTTTTTTTGTACAACATAGTCAATTTTCAAGCGTGAAAACAGTGGAAAACTTAAATTTCTAGTGTTAAAACGTTCTCTTTTTCTAGATTTAAAAAACGACATGTTTAAACGCTGAGTTTTTTATATTTTTGCCGTTTTCACGCTTGAAAATTGACTATTTTGCACAAAAAACGTCGTTTCTTGCGTTTTTTTAATGAGCGTGAATGGATCACAGTCGCGGTTCCCGATTGTGCGTTTAAACTCGTTTTTTGAAATTTTTGTCTGCTTGGGCATAGCTTGAATACCATCTAGTTTTATATATTAATAACATCACTACTTCAATTATTAATGGATAAAAAGCACTCTCAACAGCATATGTGTGTCAAACTAAGATCGTTAGAATCCTTTATCCTTTTGTGAATATGTAACAAAAAAAAGAGCATTGTCCTCATTTTTGCTTAGATAAACAAGATGGATAGAAGAAAACCAAACACCTATAATTATAATACATTCAAGTACATGTGAAAATACAATTATTACGACTGTTATTACTACCTATGATGTTTTTCATTGGTGTTTTTTCAATGTTCTTCTATCGGTAATTGATAATTTCGTCTTATGTGAATATGTAGAACAACTGTAGAAGTTTATATGAAAGAATATTCTGATTTATCACTAAAGGGATTTACAGTTCTTTTTTCAATTTTTACTTTCACATTTTAATGCAAAAATCACACTTTTAATACGACTTATTTTCGCTCTCGTATATAAAAGAAAGTAGGACACCTGGTACTTTTGAAGTATCAACGAGAAAAGTAAGACATCAACGTCATTAAAAAAAGACTTATTGTAAATTTTTACTTCATCTTAAAATAGAAGATAATGATGGGAAAGAAGCGTCAACTATTGAATATATTCTATATTTTAATATCGTACAACTCTTTGTAATTATTATTCTTGAAAAGATAATAATCGAAAAAAATGAAGTATTAAATTCTATATGAAAAAAATATCCATATACATTAAAAGAATTACAACTTGCATACATTTCAGTGGTTATTTTAACTTAATCTTAACAACAAATATCACTGATTATTATTCCTGATACGTTTTATTGCATTGATCGATATTTATTATATGTTGATTTTTTGTGGCAAACAAAAGAAAAGAAAAGAAGCAGATTTTCAGGGTGTGTTTTTTAGGTAGAGGACGACGAAAAAGTACAAATAAGACATGCACGCATAGACTGAAAATATTTGAAGAAAGGCGGCGCACAATACGACACTGTAATATAGAATGAAATAATAACTATTCAATAATACCTTTCTGTTTGTCTTCCATGTCATATATATTCTTCTTTGTCTTGTACCGGTTTATCTATGTCCTTCAAAAGGGGCATTGACGAAAGAGTAATAATCGAATATTGTTTTTAAAAAAAAACAGTTTCATGCTGATAACGACTGATAGCATAAAAGACAATTTTTACTTTGTATAAAAAGAGAAGAATCGTCAAGGAAAGAAAGTTGAAACTTGATATAGGAAAAATTTTCACGTATAAAATAACTATTTTCTATTTATTGACATTCATTTTCTTAGTCATTACTTTTATTCAATATAATTTATTATCCATTTATGATTATTAAAAGTTTATTCAAACTGAGAATGTAACTGTTTTTTTTAAATAGTATCGTTATTATTATGATTGATCATATTTATATACATATTTGATGAATTCGTTTGATGTTACAGTTGACTTAGCAGTCGAAAGACTAGAGTGATGTGTTTGTATGATCTTCAATTGATCCGAATTTCTTCTAATAAGGTCATTACTATAGTTATATAGTTTTTAAAATGTTTTTCACTGTTTCTTCGATACTCTTGAATGATATATACTCAGTGAAGTTGGATTTTGATAATCACGAGCATGATAAGGAAGTGTTACATGAAGAATCAGTTTTGTAGATGCTGTAGCTTCAGACGAAAACATCGTCTATTATAAATGAGTATATTTGTTATAAAGCATTGTGATGTCGAACAGTCCTAATATTGATTCATATGATACGGGTATAGTTATCACCAGTTCTTTTATTAAAATAATATAAGAAAAGAAAAAATGATAATAATATTTACATTAAAAAAAAAACAGAGGCTCAAAAAATAAATCTTTCGTTGTCATTATTATATTTATAAAACTGTTTAGAAAAAAAAACATAATGAATAAAATTGTAAAATCCATATTATGATATATGAAATAATGATTTCATTAATGGTAATAATTCATTCTTATCACTTGACAATAAATTTCGCTCAACATTATCTCGAAGTTTTTTATGAAGTGTTTGCCATGTTATAAAATGTGTTATAACTTTTCTCCATATATGAATAACATTTTCAGGTCCATGTACTGTTTCAATATATTTCCATAATAATTCTGTATAATAATTTTGTGCACGATAAACAGCCATACCATCATTAAGAATAGGTTCAAGTTCACCATCACCTGTTGAAAAACCTTTTGTTAATATAAGTGTTATAAGTGTTAATTGAATTATTCGCTGATCATATTGTGCAATATATACAAATGATTCAAAAATTTTTCTCATTTGTAAATAACCATCATAACCATAAACTTCTTGCATAACAGATGAATCCCATGGTACATCAGAATCAGTTTCAACAATTTGATCTGTTTCAATTTTATATGAAAGTGTACAATTAATACATAAAAGTGGTAAAAGATTAAATTTAATTAACGTAACTTTATCATCAACATCTAATTGATTAAATTCTGGTATTTGTTTAAAAAATGTTAATAATCTTATCAATGGTACTGAATGACTATTAAGTTTTTGTAAAAATGTTATTGCATGCATTGATGGATTCCATGGAAGACCATCACGAGCTAAATATAAATTGTAGCAAAAACCCAAGAACCTGAAAAAATATCTTACCTAGTTCAATACGTTTTTGATAGAAAAATTGTATATATTCAATACGTTGTAAATCTTCAGGACTAAGTAATCCTTGTTTTGTTTGTGATGAAGTTTGTTGAAGACAATTTGATAAAATGAAAAAATTAGATTTTGATGATGAAACTAACTAAACAAACAAGACAAAAAAAAATAATGAAATGAGCAAAAAATATTCATGATCTTACTTTATTATGAACAATAAAATTTTTTTGAAGATTCATATCGAGATTTTCTTCCTTCTGAAGATGTTTGCTTGGTTTTTGTTCAGCCTAAAATTGTTTTCTTTTTTTATTATAAAATTTAAATGAATATTATTTTACTAAATACCATTATAAGTCGATCACGTCGCATTCCATTTTTAAAACATTTAGCCAAACGACATGCAGAACATCGACGACGAGAATCAAATGTTATTTCACATAAACCTTGTCGAGGACATTCAAGTGGCTGTAAAAGAAGTCCGTATAAGAGAATTGACTTGTTATAAAAACTTACTGGATCTTTTAAAGCATTACGACGAAAGAAAGATTTGCAACTTTCACATGATATTGCATCAAAATTATATCCAAGTGCGGGTGCTCCACAAATAGCACAAATTAATGGAGTATGTTTTGTTTTTTTCAATTGTGATGATAGTTGATTAATCTTTTAAAAATATTTAGAAAAAAAAAGAAAAATAATATTTAATTTTTACTTCTGGATTAGACATTTCCATATATTCATCATCATCATCATCATCATCAGTTTCAAGAATGAGTGATTTACATGATAAAACATTTTTACTAGTTTTTATTTCATTAATAATACTTTCATCACCACTAATTATCAGTATACGACGACGTTTTGGTTTTTCTTCACAAGTCATTGTTGATTTCTCTGAAATAAAGTTATTTTCAAACTGATTAAATGTTGTTGGTTTTTTTCTTTCTTTATATGTTATATTCTTACCTGTTATCATGACTAACCATTTTAGTCACTTGAAACCAATGAAAGATGTCAATGTGGATCGTTAGAAAAAGATGTAGTTTGATATACAGATAAAAAAAAATAATTAAATACAAAATAATGAAACCATCATCCATTAAGATTTTTGTTATATTAACATTAGGAAATAAATATAGTTAATCCATATGTTGTTATTGTTGTTTTTTTAATGAATAAATTACTCTTTTTTATTTTTGACAAAATTATCAATGACATTTTGTTTTTCATGATCGATATCAATTTCAAAAGAAGTATTAGTCTATGTCTGTCTGTCGATTATAGCGAGAAGCTAATTTCGAAAAGACGCTACTAGAGACTGTTGGATCGGCCTTATGTCTGAAAACTTGAATCCGAAGGGCTTTAGTCGTCTGACAAATGTGTAGGGTGTGCTAGTCACTGAAAATACAAAAGCCAGAAAAAAGTATCTCGCATTTTCGGGCCGACTATTTAACTTCAATTAGAAAAGCTTTGTTGAAATTATCAAAGTACATTTCTACTGAGTCCCGGTCCGCAAATTTTGGATCCGACAGGCTATAGACCTTTTCATGTCTTTCTTACCAGAAAAGGAGTTTAATTAATAGTGTATAGTTTTTCAGATAGATTGAATGAGAACCATTTTATTGATTCGCAATCAAACGACCCTTTTTTTTTTATTTCAAAAATTGCGATCCTGTGTCGATCAAGAAAGATAATCAATTATTAAGTTAAAGGGTTTTTTTCAGTTTTCAAAAAAGCGGTATAGTCATACTAATAGGTTTCATATTAAATTCTCTCGATTTAAAAAAGAAGCGTGATGATTTTAAATAATAAAGGATATTTTATGAATATCAAAATCATAAGTCCCTTAACGTAAACATGATTTAGGAGAATTAAAATATCAAAATAACCTTGACTTATAAAAGAAACTCTCTAAATGTAAGTGTCATTTTTCAATCGGTTGTATAACAATTTGTAGAGTTTACTGAACATATCTTGATGGGATAATTCATTCTTTCCTGACGACTTTCTTTGAGGAATTAAATCAATCTCAACTTCAGAAGAATTACTGTAACTCTTATTTTGGAAATTTTATTTTTTATGTGTTAGTTTGGCTCTCAGCATTGAAAACTTTAATACTGGATATGCCTGAATTGACTGTACATATTCAGACAATTGACATAAATAGAAGTCCTAACTACATATATATTCTTCGAATATCTCAATACCATTGATAATGCCGATGTACGAAATTCAACTATTTTTTTCTAAACAACATAGTAATTAAAGTGTTGTAAGATATCTCGTGTTTAATAGTTTTTATTCTATTTAATTTTTTCTCTCATGTGAATGTAAAAGAATACAATACATAAGACTGGTCATTGAAACATGATCAACATCTATTTTCAAAATATATCCTAAATAGATGAATATAAAGTTAGAATTAGATGAATGTTTAAAAAAATAGTTAAATTCCATACATACACAGTATCAACGATATTGGAATATTGATAATATAGACACAATTAGAAATTCCATTTATGCTGTGAGTGTAGATTTGTAGAGTCAATTACGGCACATTCAGTATTTAAGTTTTCAATGCTGAGAATTTAATTAAAATAAAACATTATGATTTTAAAAATAACAGGTTCTAGTAAATTTTCTGAACTTGAGGCCAACCTAACTCCTAAAACATAGTCTAATGAGAAATATTTGAGGATCTTTCTGCATTTTCATACTTCCAAAAATACATACAAGACAAACAAAAGTGTTAGAAATAATACACGTTGCTGTCTTATAGCTTTTTTAATGGCAGATAGACCAAATAAAAAAATACATTAAAAAAAAAGATTTTTTCGCTATTTACAAGTATATTACTATTGATTATTATAATTCATCAATCCGAGTCTTACTAAATTCTATAGAAATTGCATCATCTATTCTTTATCTCTTGCATTTGTCTCCGCCTTTAAACATTTTGATGATATCAGTTTTGTTGCTTAAGAAATCTTGTTTGATACGAAATAAAGATAAAATACAAACAACAGAAGTAAAATAAGATAAGACGTTTATGCAACTAAAGATAATTGCGTTCTTTAAAAAGAATAAAAATCTATCAGAAATCATATTTTCTTCTTATATAATAAACATATGTTTGACCAAACTTTCATATATGACTCATCTAGTATTTGCAAACACAGAAAACAATTCTAATTTTTTATTTAATTTTCGATGTAAATGATAAAAACCTACATGTAAAAATATTCGAATACTTTTCAAGAACTAAATTACGTCAAAATGTTTCACTAAAACATCACTTATCCATACATATGACTTATATTATTTGACGTATATCATTTTTCAGTCAAGAGAAGAGTCAAAAGATAAATATTTTTGTTAGATTTTGTTCTACAGAAAGGTAAAAAACAAATAGAATACCGGTTTTCTTTTATTATTTTTTCAAGTCGTTCGACATTATGTACATATACAAGAAATTGATTTTGTATTTCTACGTAGTAAAAGATATAAGAAAACGAAAGTATTCATATGTTCTTTTGAACTATTATGCAATCTTGATTTTGATTTTCTAAGCTTATTTCAATAAAATATTACTTCTTCTTTAATATCATACATCCATAAGTTGACACAGTATTGTGTGTCAGAATTATCTATATTTACTTAGGGCAGTCCTAAAGTAGTGAGAGTGATACTTTAGTTCCTTATACGAAGCTTAAAGAAACTTTCTTTCTATAAAGTCTGATAGAGAAAAGAATGCTCTATTTTTCTATGCTATTTGATTATACTTCAACTAATATCATAATAATAAAATTTCTATAAGGACTCTTTCGTTAGCATATGTGCTGCTTGTCTTCATACTCATTTTAAAAAATATGAGGAAGTATTTGTTGAATAACTTTAGATAGATGCAAGATAGAGAACTACAGTTTTCACCGTTGGAAAGAGAAAATCAAGACGCATCGAATAGTGGATTTCATAGTTTCCTGATCTGTTTTTTGCAAGGTTTTCGATCGACCTTGTTAAGAACAAGTCTATCTGGTAAGTTGTTTACAGTGAATTTTCAATTATCAAGTATAAATTCAAATCACTAATCGAAAATCTACAAAGTACGAAAGACTGAGAAGAATAATATGTATCCTAGTCGAGACTATAATATGATTTTCTAACAAAATCTGTAAAAAAAGATCACTTTTGTGCTTGTTTCTTCCTTCACTAAAGAAAAAATTTTCCGACAGTTAGACAATTAAATAAAAATACTTTAAAAAATCAATATTTCAAAAACCTATTAATACACTATTCTATTGATCTTCATCTCCTCTTTTCAACGGTGAAAACTTCAGTTTCCTATCTTGTTTCTATCAAATCTTATTTAAAAATTATTCACTAGCATTCATGCAACCGTGACATATGCCAACAAAGTAGATCTTGTCGAAATTTCATTATTATGATATTAATTAAAGTATGACCAAATAACAGAAAAAATAGAGCATTGTTTTCTCTATCAGACAGTATAGAGAGAAAGTTTCTTTAAGCTTTTTATAAGCAACTAAAGTATCATTCTCAATAGTTTTGGACTGTCCTAAATATTTCGTCATAAAGCAATATTGATTATCAATGACATCTTTCGAACAAAATTCTCATATGTCGAAAATATCCAAATTATATATTCATCGGAGACAAGTGACTTTCTTCTATGTTTGTCATTTAAGGACAAGTTTATTTCCGCAAAAAAAACCTCAATATGAACAATCCGCAAATTAACGGACATTCATCATTACAAAATGGTAGTGATGAAGATTTTGAATTAATGGGTGACATGCCAAAAGAAGATCCTATTATTGCTGAAGTAAAAGCTTTTACAAAAAAAAAATTTTTTTCTATTCGTTTTTTCTCTGATTCAATTATAGCGTCGTCGTATGCGTAATAATGAAATAACAAAAAAACTTGGAGCCTATTTACTTAAAGGCTATTGCATGTTAAGTGATGCTTGTCCACAATGTGATGTATAATAATAAAAAAAAACAATTTTATATTAAAATAAATAAGAATAATTCTATTTCTCTTAGTGTATTCTTCTTCGTACACCAGACCGCCAATTACTTTGTGTTGGTTGTACGGAAGTTGATGTTGAAAATCGTTCGTTGAGTAATAATTTTCAAAAAAAAAAAAAACAAACGAAGTTGATAATATTTTTTGTTTTGTTTTTATAGCAACAGGTAATAAAGAAACAACAAAAGGTAAACAAAAAATGAAAAAGATTTTCATACTTATGTTAAGAATATATATTAATTTAATAGGAGAAGATGAACAACGTTTAACATCCGCTCAACCAATTGTTAAGAAAAAAGATCGTGTAAAACATTCGAAAAAACGAAATAAAAAAACATCAGTAACATATGATAGTGAAAATGTATCGAGTGAAAATACAAATTATTCTGTTCAATTGGAAAATAAACTTAAATGGGCTGTTGATGAAGTATGAAAAGAGAAAATTTTGTTTTTTTCTATTATTATTTTTTTCTTTATAGTTAACTAAATCTCAAAATCCAAATCGTATTACTGCTATGTGTACAGTTATTACCAAATTAACAGAATCAATTAAAGCACTTAAAGAATATGAAACAGCTTCTGCATGAAATTGAACAATTTAGATCTCATATTATACTCTTGCATTATTATTTATCGTTTTGTTTTTCATAGCATTAACTGATTTGATCGGACTTTTTCATCCTTTCATCCCCTTTTTTTTGTTTTGTATTCATGTTTGAATGTAGAAATAAAGCATCTTGAAGAACTATTACAGATATAGACGTGAAAACATGATGTTAATTTATATAAAAAGGATATATATATATATACAGTTTTTCCAAGAGTAGAATCTCTGAAAAATAAAACTTTTCATTTGTTGGAATTATTCAGAATGATAGAGCAAACGATTCTCTACCAAATGAAACGTCTTCCAGCTGTCGACAATGTCTTCTTTTTTTTCACCGACATACATCAATCTTACGGAAAGGCACAAAAGTCATTTTCTTTTGCTATTTCGTATAGACACAACATTTTTGTACTTTCCATAAGATTGATACATCTCGGTCAAAAAAACGTTGCCATCAACAGCTGGAAGATGTTTCATTTTGTAAAGAATTGCTTGTTTGATTATACTCGGAAAATTAACTATCATTTTTATCGTCAAAAATTCTTCTTGAAAATATAATTCTTTACATAAATCACTATTTGTATTGATATTAGCGAATATAGATGTGGAAAAAGAAGTTGAAAATAAACTTGGTCGAGCAATTGTAGAAGCCATTGTATCTAAAATAAGTGAAGAGTAGTTTAAAATAGATCATTATGAATAATTCGAATATTAAAGTCGCTCCCTCAAAAATCGACTTTGGCATACGGATATTCAAATTGCATGGAATTTCAAGAATATATTGAGATTAGTGAAGAAGCTGTGATAAAATGTTCAGCTTTTTATATAATGATGTTTTTCGGATATATACAACCAATAAGAATAAAAAGTAGCTCATTTGGTAACACAAAATTCTCGGTGGACCTTCCTTCTATAGACTTAATTGGTTTTTTTTTGAAATAGTATGTCACGATGTAGAGCATGACAGAGTCATTTTTTTCTATTCTTCCTTTCTAAAAGGAGAAAAGTTTAATGCCTCAAAAAAAGGCTTTCTAATTATAGAAATACTCTTTTATATAATAGAAATAAAGATTAATTAAAAAAACAAACTCTGATGTGCCATGCATCTAGACACGATTTTTCAAACAAAATAATAAGTAATTAGCCAAATGAAGGATCTTCGAGAACTCTGAGAAATTCGAGATCAAAAAAATATATACAGAGAAAAAGTGGAAAAAATTTTCCACTTTGGTGAAAATGTTTGAAAAAAAAAAAGAGATGTCAAATAAAAACTTATGTTCTGAAACATCGAACTCTCTTTCCATGTATTTATTTCAATTCTCATGTTTTTCACGACAATAAACTTTTTTGAGAGAGAAGAGAGTGCTTAAAAGAAACTTTGTAATTTAAGGATAGTAAATTTAAAAATTGATCATCATGCATAATATTTTTTCATGATTCGATTTAATATCAAACAGATCAAAGAGTTCATACATAGAAAATATTTGCGAGAATGAATGCACATGAGCTTGAAATAAATTAAAAAGTCACATTATAATATTTGCAGACTGGAGACAATCTTGTTCAGCTAAATTTTCTAACTTAATAAAGTAGTTTTTTTTTAATCTTCAATAAGAATTGCACTGTAAGTAATGTCTAGGGTGTGAATTCTTCACAACAGCAACTCTTTGAACACCTCATAAATATTTAGATGATCTTGATGCATTGAACTAGAAAACAGAAGCTCTGAAGTCTTGAAGTGACTTATTAATGAATAGAATGATCAGTGGAATATTTATTTTGCTGAATTACAAATTGTGAACATTGAAGTTAAAAACAAAGTTTTTTTTGCATTTGATATTTTTAAGACTGTAGAATTTGAAAGAAAATAATAGAAAAATGAGTTTTGCTGAAAATATTTTGATCAATACTTAGAAAAAAATCAATACAAAAATGTATTCAAAGACTAATGTAAATATTAGACCAGTGGAAATATGTTCTAGTACATCATTAATGCTACCTGTGATAATTAATAATGATTTATAAACAATGGTAGGCCACATTGAACCATGTAAAAAATATATTGTATTATATACTCAATAACTTTTGAGGAACTCTATATCTTTTAACATTCTCTTTACAATCTATAGAGAGAGAGAGATTTTCACAGTTTAAATTAATTATAAATTCCTTTTTTTTTTAATCTCTGAAGAGACGAAATTTCGAAATATGCTTTTGTTACTGTATCCTTTCTTCAAATATATGTACTAGACAAAATTAGAATACAAGTAAGTCATGAATTTACCAAAGCAAAACTGAAATTCTAATATTGACTAAAATGTCATCGGCCAGACTAGGAATTCTAGTTTTTCCTTGACAATATTAAAGTCAACTAGAGATAAAGTCTTACAATCACGTGTTTTACTAAACGTAGAGTGGAATGAAAAACAAAAACAGAGAACCGTAACCATAACGATGGTATCAATAAGTTATATAAATATATACATGTAGATATTACAATCTAATAAAAAAAAAATAACATCTGAATCAGATTCAACAATCAGTCACACATGCGATTGTAAAGGCAAGCGCGCTATAAAGCAATGTTCTTGTAAAAAAAAAAGAAGCAAATGGGAGTTTTTTTTTGTTCGTCAAAACGGGGTGATACTATAAGTATGAATGAATAGATTAAAACGTTTTGTCTTGTAAATATTTAAGTGAAATGAAAAGACATTATTGAAGACAAAAAACTTAGTAATTTTATTCAGACTTGAATTATTTTCATCGTATGAATTTAATTATAATCTTGCCCACACTATAAGATGCCGAAAATTGAAAATTTTATGGAATTTTTTTTTTCATTTGATTTAGTATCATTCGATAGAACACATCGAGTTAACTATATAAAACTAATTTTGAGATTTTTGCAAACAAGTTTTTTTCTAGAATTATTCGAAAAAAAGATCAACATCTAAATATCTTATTAGAGTTGTACATTATCATATTTATTTAATTATCACTTTGTAGAACATTATAAGGGTTATTTCCTGATTTGGCATACAAAACGTACCAAACAACCTTATGCACATAAGATGTTTTGGTTAATTATGTCTGTCAAATCAGGAAATAACTCTTATAATGTTCTACAAAGTGGAAATTACATATCTGTGGTAATGTACGATTCTAATCATTATATTTAGAATCTAGTCGTTTTTTTTTCGAATAATTCCAGGAAGATCTTGTTCCTAAGAATTGGAAAGGTAGATTTTCATAGGTAACTCAACGTGCTCTGTTCAATGATACTGAATAAATTAAAAACAAAAAAATTACTAATATTTTCTATTTCCGGCACCATATGTTGTAGTTCAAGACTATGGGACAATTTTTTTTTTAATTTAATAATTTGAACTGAGTCTTGCAAAATTCTTCTGTTCTGTATGGGTTAAATGTCATTCCCTTATTCGTAATAAAACTCGAAAAGACAATTGCATGAAACATGAGAAAGTCGAAATCTCAAATTACAGTCATGCTTAATAAATGACATGCAATGCATAAGAAGATACAGATTTATTTCTTTGATTTAATATAAGCATTGGAATCAAACGATGTATTTCACCTTTATTATATTGTAATATGAAATTCAAAAATTAGTGCGGAAGAGATCAATAATAACATTTTTCCGCAATGAAATTTACTTTAATCCTATCAATATTGAGTATATTTCCTGATAAATAATCACATATAAACATTATAATTGAAACCAAAATCATTTAGTTTACTTCATATCTTGTTTTTTTTATCAAATAACTATCAATTACGCAGAACGTCAATCTATCAGTGAAATATCCTAGAGCAGATATTCACTTCAGTAATCACAATATTCTAAAAGCCTGACATAGCATTTATTTTTCTTTTCCACTTGAGATATATCTTTGCATAGTGTAAATGATTATTTTTCTTCTTCGTGGGAATAAAATTTTATAGAAAAACATCTGTTTTATTTTATTAATCAAAGATTTATAATAATCGTCGTTTCTATCATCAAAACACAGTTTATATTTTGGTTTTTTGTAGTCACATTAAAAGTCATCGTGATTACAATGTAAGTATAACGCGTAATATGTTAAGAAAAGTCACATGAATAAGCTTCTCGACGTCTTTCAAGATCTTTTTTTTTCTTTTTTTTCCCTCCCATTCGTCTCTTCTCTAATGATTATGATTGCACTGACATCATCGTCAAAGAGTCGAGAAGAAGGGGAAAAAAAAGGAATTTTAGCATGAACGGAAGAAGAAGAACAAAAAACATACTATCTAAAGAAAATAAAGAGGAGAAAAAAAATTTTCTCGGGCGTACTGAAATGTTAGCGAGAAAGGATACCCTGTTCTCATGTCTTTCGGAGCCGAAGAAAAAATATTTTGTTGAGTGAGTGCGTAGGAGTTGTCATAGATGGAGGGTGAGAAAAAAGAGAAAAGCCTGCCTGATGACGTAGAGAAAAACAAAACAATTCTGATATACATTTTCAGATTCCCTACAGTTCGAGACCATGCATCGATTAATGTCCCGTTTCCTTTTATTTATTTTCTTATTCTGCTTGACCAATGGAGCTGTTGATTACGACGAAATAACTAATGACATTGAATTCGTACCCGAACATTCCAACGAATGGGTTGTAAGAATTGATGAAGGTAAAAAAAAATAATTCTAAGAAAAGAAAAAACAAAGAAAAATTTTTATTATTAAATTTTTAGGTGATGACGTTGCAGATCTTGTTGCAAGCGAACTTGGCTTACAAAACAGACGAAAGGTAACTATCTATTCTATTATTTTGAAATAATACTTTTTAAATTTGTTTTTAGATCTTTGATAATTATTATTTATTTGTAAATCCGTATGTTCCTCGACGATCTAAACGAGCAACGAATGATTTTACCGATTTATTGACTAAACATGAAAAAGTATCATGGGCTGAACAACAACAATCACGAAATCGTGTCAAAAGAGATTTTATTGATAAACGTGCACAAGAAGATCGTGTCTATCGTTCTGTATCATTTTCTGATCCAAAATGGTCAAAAGAATGGTATTTAGTAAGTTTTAAATTGCTTTTGTTTTTGCTCTATGCAATATAATCGTTATTTTTTTTTTGTTTACAGAAAGATACAAGACCAGAAAGTTCAAGTTATTTACCAAAACTTGATTTACACGTTTTACCAGCATGGGCAGCAGGTTATACAGGTAAAGGTGTTAAAGTAACAATACTTGATGATGGTCTTGAATGGAATAATTCGGATATATTGGCAAATTATGATTCAAAAGCAAGTTATGATTTAAATGATAATGATGATGATCCAAGTCCACGATACGATCCTACAAATGAAAACAAGTAATAATATATTATTGATGTTTAATTAAATTCTTTTTTTTTTCAAATTTAGACATGGAACACGATGTGCAGGAGAAGTTGCTATGGTTGCCAATAATTCTATTTGTGGTGTTGGTATCGCGTAAGCATATATTTAGATTATTATATATATGTATATATTATTATTATTATTATTATTATTATTTAATGATTATATGTTAGATATAATGCAAAAATAGGTGGTATTCGAATGTTAGATGGTCATGTTACTGATCGTGTTGAAGCTGAAGCTATTGCTTTTAATCATAAATATATCGACATTTATTCAGCTTCATGGGGTCCAAATGATGATGGACGAACAGTATGATGATTAGATTAAGTAAGAATTAAAGTATGCTATAAATAATTTTAGGTTGAAGGTCCCGGTACGCTTGCTTCAGCTGCTTTTATCAAAGGAATAACAGAAGGTCGTAATGGTAAAGGTGTTATTTATGTTTGGGCATCAGGTAATGGCGGACGACGACAAGATAATTGCAAGTAAGTTGAATTCTTATGTTAATTAATAGTTAATAATCTGAAACAAAAAAATAGTTGTGATGGTTATACTGGCTCAATTTATACAATTTCAATATCATCTGCATCTGAACATCAACAATCACCATGGTATGCTGAACGTTGTCCAAGTACAATGGCAACAACATATTCATCAGGAGCTTATAAAGATCAAAAAGTCGTAAGTAGACCGATTGTAACCAAAAAAAAATTTATATTTTTTGTGTTTTTTCTTCTCGTTAGACAACAACAGATCTTCATAATTCATGTACTGATGATCATACAGGAACATCGGGTTTGTTTTGTTTTTTACTTCTTTTTTTATAAATCCCTATTTCATGATAAATTTTTGTTTTCAGCTTCAGCCCCATTAGCTGCTGGTATATTTGCTCTTGTATTAGAAGCAAAGTAAGTCATAGAAAAAAAACAATTATAAGTAAATCTTATTTAATTGTAGCCCGGAACTAACATGGCGTGACATGCAACATTTAGTTGCCTGGACATCAGAATATGCACCATTGGCTGATAATCATGGTTGGACAACAAATGGTGCAGGTTTTAAAGTAAGTTTATGTTTTTTAATATTATTAACCATATGGTACAAATATTTTAATCATATTTATAATTTTTTTGTTTTCTCTTAAAATAAATATTCTATGCAAATATTTTTGAGCTTTTTTAAGTGAAATGTATAGTTTATTTTATTACAAATATGTTTATGCTAAAGAAATATTTTGTAAGTTTTTTTTTTCTTTTTCTTTAGGTGAATAGTCGCTTTGGTTTTGGTCTTTTAAATGCCGCTGCATTAACTGAAGCAGCAAAAAATTGGGTTACTGTACCTAAACAAAGTATTTGTGAAATTGAACCAGTTAAATTTCAACCACAGTATGTATTTTGTAGAAAACTAACATTGTTTTTAATTATGTACATGTAGACGTATCAGTGCTGCTCGTCCATTAGAAATCGATTTTGAAGTGAAAGGTTGTGAAGGCGAAAATAATGTAGTCCGTTTTCTTGAACATGTTCAACTTTATGTTACAATTAGTTATACACGACGTGGTGCACTCAAAATAAATATTACTAGTCCACATGGTAGAATTTAATAGATTTTTCTTTTTTTTTGTGTCTTAATATATCTTTACTTAGGAACTCAAACAACATTATTATCTGAACGTGATCAAGATACATCAACAGAAGGTTTTAAAAATTGGTCATTTATGAGTGTACATAATTGGGGTGAAGATCCAAAAGGTTTATGGACGATTAAAATTATGGACACAGTAAAGTTTTATTATATATAAATACATAAATTCTTTTTTTCGTTTCCTAGACGGGCAACATGAATAATCATGGTTCACTGGAAGATTTCCGTTTAGTATTACATGGCACAAGTGAAGCACCTCATCATATGAAAGCTGGACCAAGAATTTATGACGAAAATTATAATACCGTCCAGAATGAACGAAGTGTAAGTGTAAAAAAAAAAGAAATGATGACAAATATCGATTTTTTATGATAAAATCTTGAAAACAACATATTCTACCTGTGTTACAACTAAAGGAAATATAGTTTAATATTTTGTCGACATTTAACAAGTTTTATGAGTGATAGCCGATTGTCTTTGAAAATTGATTGAAAAATCTTCTTGTTAAATCCCAAAAACATTCTCATTGACACTTACTATTAGAAAAAGGTTAAACAACAATAATGAATGTATGACACTACGGAGTATAAGAAAACCGAGAAATGAGTTGTTTGAAATATTAACCGTAACTAACTACATGATATTCAAGTTCGAAGATAATATTTTATCAATATATGATGCGAGTATATGTTGGTAGCTTAGCTTATAATAATTACAATCGAAAAAAGAATATATTAACCGTAGCATGGTTTAAAATAAACTGAACTTTTTCTCGCTAATTTTAATTCGATGAAGATTTTTAAATCAAATTGAATAAGTCTGTATAATAAGTGACCTCAACGTTTTTAGATCGAAATTTATCTAAGACACGATGATCTTTGAAAAATTTACGAGAGAACTACTCTACTGTAATCTGTCGTATGAATCCATAAGGAAGCCTTGATAAAACTAGATAAATCCTGAAAGAGGTCTTGCCTATCTATCGGTCTCCGAAGCTGAATTATAATCGTTCTACTGAATTTTTGACCCATTTTTAGATTTTTACGGAAGAATCAAATGATAGAATTTCGACCTGAAATTCAACCCATCGACAGGTCTAATGATTCTTAGAATACTCTGAAAGTTTCAACCGAAATGAATGTTACTTTGTCGAGATATTAAATTTGCACGTAAACTCAATTTTTCTAGCAGTCAAGTATTTGTTGGAAATTCAGTGTCTCAACATAGGAGTATTCTTTTCGACTGAAACTTTCAAAATATTCCAAGAATCATTAAATCCGTCGATGGGCTGAATTTCAGGTTGAAATTCTATTATTTGTTTGTTCCCTATAAAGCCTAAAAATGAGTCAAGAATTCAGTAAAACGTTTACAATTCGGCTTCAAAGTAGAGCTCGTTCGATCCAAAATTTTCGGGTTCGGACCGTTTCCAAAAATAATCCAATGGTCTTTACTCCAGAGGTCTATGAGAATAAATCCTTTTAAGTACTTTAGTCTTACCGAAGTTTCTTTGTAGTTGCAGTATGAGTTTGAACAGTAAGTTATAGCTCGGCTATTTCGCATGGTTAGCTCATACTCATTGGGTGAATCCGCCGGGTTTCTACCACTTTTGTGGAAAAAATTTTTTTTCACGATTTTGATATTCTAGTTAGGCGGGGCATAGTCGAAAACGGTCTGAGGTAGCAATAAAAATTTTTTTGAACACAGAAACTATGGGGATCCACATTGTTTTTTAGGAACCCTTCACACATGTATGTATCTACGAAGTAATTTTCATAAATATACTTTCTATAATTATCAAGTTCTTATAGATTCTGATAGGGAAAAAAATTCTGCATCGAACGAGCCTATTTTCGACAAATCTAAATCGGATATTCATAGGTCTTTAGGTCAAAAACTGGTTTTTAGAGCTCCCAGAAAGTGCTTCAGATCTTTGTTATTATCCAATGAGTTTTTAAAAATAATGTAATATTTGTAATCAACACACTTAGCTCTATAAAACTATAAAGACTTCTAATAAAACGGTAATAAAAAATTTTTTTCGATACTTGAGGGGCGGGTACCACCAGATATCGAAAAAAATTTTTTATTACCGTTTTATTAGAAGTCTTTATAGTTTTATAGAGCTAAGTGTGTTGATTACAAATATTACATTATTTTTAAAAACTCATTGGATAATAACAAAGATCTGAAGCACTTTCTGGGAGCTCTAAAAACCAGTTTTTGACCTAAAGACCTATGAATATCCGATTTAGATTTGTCGAAAATAGGCTCGTTCGATGCAGAATTTTTTTCTCTATCAGAATCTATAAGAACTTGATAATTATAGAAAGTATATTTATGAAAATTACTTCGTAGATACATACATGTGTGAAGGGTTCCTAAAAAACAATGTGGATCCCCATAGTTTCTGTGTTCAAAAAAATTTTTATTGCTACCTCAGACCGTTTTCGACTATGCCCCGCCTAACTAGAATATCAAAATCGTAAAAAAAAAATTTTTCCACAAAGTGGTTGAAACCCGGCGGATTCACCCCATTATCTTAATTAAAATAGTTTTCAAAATAATGAAAACACATTTCATTCATGAAGATAATTATACTTCTTTTTTTTTCCAGGAAAAACGTCAAAGTTCAAAATCTGTTGATCGTCAACAAAATATAATTGAATCCAATAAAATTTCATCAAAAAATGCGGAATATGATCAACAAGATAAACTCAATGATATCAACACTGTTCCCAACACAGATAGTCATTGGCTTCGTCTCCTTGCTCGTCTTAATGGTAATTGGTTGCAATAAATGAATAGAAGAAAGAAAGAAAAAAAGAAACATAAAAATAAGAATATAATCTAATGAATATATTAACTCATGTCAAACATCAATAATCTAGTCCTCATCATTCCAAAGAGAAATCAATTTTCTCTTTTTCATTCTATTTTTGTAAAAGATCGTGAATTTAGATTTTATTTATTTCTCTCTTTCTCTGGATATATATTTAAAAAAAAAAAGAAATCATCAGTAAAGACAAAAAGGAATATATGAAGAACAACAAATTTAAGTTTTTATAAATTTTGTCGATGATGTCGATTAAAATTAATCGATAATTCGGATATTGTTGCTCGTGGCCTATTTGTTGAATTCGTTGTTTTACTTTTACGTTGTGATGAATACACCACACTAAGTGCTGCTGGTTCCGAAAAACTACGACAAGATACATGAGGTTGAGGTGAAAATTCAGCTGATGATGATACACATGGACAAAAACGAAATACACTACGAAAACCATTACGAAATCTAAATATTAATAATCATAAAAAAATAACGTTGAAAATACAATCAAAAATAATATTTTATTTACCTATTATTCATACAACAATAAAGAAATGGATTATACATTGAATTACTCATGGCAAAAAAATACGATATAAGATAAACATAAGGAGTTCCAGGCCATTCTGGAATTGATTTATATACAGAAACAAGAATAAAATAAAGTTGTTGAGGAAACCTATATTAAAATATAAGTTATTTGTTTTGTATAATACATATTTTTTTATGATTACCAGCATATACCAAAGATTAAAACAACAGCAATAAGCATTTTGACAACTTTTCGTTTCGATTGAATTGAATCCCGTTGTCGTTTTGTAACTTCTCCAATAGCTAAATAAAGTTTACATGAATATCAATCAAAGATTTTTTATTAACAAAACAAACCAGTTTGTCCCCAAAGCTCAATAGCTATTCTTGTATATGTTATTGTTAATATAACAATTGGACCTATATATGTTACCGAAAAGAAAATCCATTCATATCTAAAATATAAATAAATTTTTTTGTTAACAAACAGAAAACAAAAAGAAGGTTTTTAAAAGTTACTTTTCATGACTTTTTAAATCTTCAATTTTACAATCAATTTTAATATTACTAAATGATCGAATAGCTGGTGATGATACAAGTAAAGATAATATCCATATACCACATATTATCATAATAGTTTGTTTATGTGTTAATTTCGTACGCAACGGATGTATTATTGCAAAATATCTTTTCAACAAAAATAGAAAAATAATATAATCGTTTTTATTGTTCTTTCAGTAATTTTTCAATTTACCGATCTAAACTAATCGCTACATAAGTAAGTACATTAGCTGCAATTGATATATGAGATACAGCTTGTACTAAAGGACACATCAAATTTCCGAAGGGCCATTGTATTTGAGCTACCATATAATAGCCATTAAATGGAATATTAAAAATAGCATTGAGTACATCAGCATAAGCAAGATTAACAAGAAAATAATTTGTTGGTGTTCTCATACGACGATGTGCCAGTACAATCCATATTACAATACTATTTCCACAAACGGCCAACAGTACAACAGTAGTAAATAAAAATAAAAAGATGAGCTAAATTTACAAAAAGATCAAATGTCATTTTCTTGAAAAAGAAAATCAATAGATTGTTTTAGAAATGTTTTCACAGTAGAAGAATCTTTAGCTAAGTTCAATTTTTTGATATGCATGTAATTCATTAGTGATCGTTATCATGATCTCTAGTTTTGCAATTGTTATTTTCCTAAATATATTCTTGATGAGGTTTCTTTGTCTCCATGATATTTTCCTATTATATAAGGAGAAGCAAAAGTCTGGAATACGCAAAATACTTTAATGTATCTGAAAAATATGTGTTAATTCAGCAAAAAAAAACCTATTTGAAATCTCTATTTTAGAAAACTATTCTTTAGTTCAAATATGATATATACATAGCAAAATGTTCGAAAATATGAATCAAATCAGTTTAGTCATTTTCAAAATAAATATCCTTTACATTGATTATGATGGAATAAAAAAAAATAAAAGTTTTATTTTTACTCACTTGTACAGTTAAAGGCAATCCAGATGAAGATTCTTCTTTTTGAAAATTATTGATAGTATAATTAATCGATGTAGTCATTGTTTTTTATTGAAATTATCTATTAATATTCATTCGTTATGTGTCTATTTGTCTATTCTGTCTTATTATCTGAATAAGAAGGAATCTGATTTTTAGTTCTTTTTTTTGGCTACTTCTCTTTCTCTCTCTCTCTCTCTTTCTCTCTCTTCTCTATGTTAGTCATTTTGCATTTGCATGCATTTTGTCACTAACATCGCCTCCTCTTTTCTCATTTATTACTTGTCGAAAAATTTTCTTGACAAAGCACAGAAACGCAACTTAACAGTATCGACTAACGCCGAGTAAACAATGGTATCTATCGAAAATAACAACAAAAACGTAGAAAAGAAAAAAAGAGAAGACAAAGATTATAAACCGATCTCAAGATCTGCTTATCACTCTCTTTGTTGAATGATGTACACAGTTATTTGACTCAATGAAATGTGAATCTTAGTTTTACTCGTTATTTTTCTTTTGGTTATATATCAAATAGTCCTTGTAGTCTCTTTTTTTGGAAAACAAAATGAAAAGAGAGAGAGAGAGAGAGCAAAGAGAAAAAGACAATGATCTTCCATTGTGATTATGCGTGGATTACTCTTTGTTTTATGCAAAAGCAAAAAAGAAGAGTGACGACAAAGCCTTTTAAGACTTCTTCACGCTCGCTTCCATCCACATCATCATTGCGGTTGAATCACTCTTCGAAAGCAAATAAATAGTGCATGACCGTAGGCTAATGAATGAAGGAAGAAAAGACTTTAAATTGGTTTTTTCTGTTTTCTTAAGTATTCCTTTTCGAATCTTTCGGCATGACAATGAACTTTATGAATATGTGTATTTATATGCATGAGCATGTCTTGATAGAACACATCAATCTAATCGTCAAATTTCTCTACATAACACAATATGATTTTTATATTTAGAATAAATTATCATATTCATAACCTTGAATATCATAGTTTCAGAACGGACTAAAAAATATTTGAGTCTTGCATTGGACAATTATTCTAGCTTTTCAAAATATTTTAAAAAAATTTAAGAAATGGAGATAATGAAAGTAGAGCTCTCACGCTATCGTGTGATGACAAAAGCTTTGTTCTAATATTTTCTCCATTGAAAACAAGTGAACTTTCTTTCTCAACGGATGCCATCGCAAAGTGATGTGTTCAATGTAATGGGTGCACACAATTTACGACAGTTCTAAACTAGACGACCCTTTCACATAATGTTTTTTTTTCTATTTCTACTACGTCTATTCAGTTAGTGTAAAGATACGAAAATGCTAACTGAGTTCGACGTTTTCAGACTTTTTATGATTTTCTAACTTTTAAAACATAAAAACATTTTTTCGAATTGTATCGGATGATGTATGACTTGTTTGTTTTTGAACAATATTTTTGACTAAGGATTTTCCGTGAGATTTTTTCAGACTTCACGACTTTTAGAAGTAATTCTTTGAATAGTTTTCAAAGAAAATAAATTCTTTCCATGTGTTTTATAGAAATTGCAATGAAACTCTTGTCTATTTATTTTCGGATGCCTTTAATTAAAATCTTGGATATTATACGTATTAAACTGTTATACTATCTCTCATTTAGAGACTTTATCTATTTTATAATCAATATGAATAGAAAGAGGTAGCTCAAGTGATAATACTTATAGATGGATATTCATAAAGTACACAAACTAGAAAATGCCGCGAGTACTCATGAAAACTCAGAGTTTTGAGTATTCATCAGTAGTACTCATACTGAGGTTTAAGTATGACAATTGAGTACTTGCTTGGTGATATTGAATGCTTTGTGAGTACTCATATATTGTTTTTATGTACCCGGATGGTTTATGTAAAAGTACTCATTAACATATATTGTATTTCGTGATGTTGTAATAACTATATCTATTTTTTATTTTAAGTACAAAACTAACAATAAAAGACTGAGATACATACAGAGAAAGTTAGAAACACAAGAAATTTAAGGACCACAATTATTAAATTATCTAACTGCGTATTTAAAATACTACAAGATAAACTAAATGAAATATTACTCAAGAAAATAAAGAAATGCTATCGGAAATAGACGGCTAGTTAAAATTTAAAACAAAAATAAAAAGTAATAATATTCTTCTATAGTACAATGCTTATATCATCATAATACAAAATTGTAACCATTCGTAATATAAGTTATTAGCCGTATTTTATTTCTTTGATTTTGACAATCAATCTGAAAAAAAAGTATATTTTTATTTAAATTTTTGAAGTGAAATCGAACAAGTTATTCTTTATACATTCAAGACAACGTGGAATCTTAATAAGTGAATAGTAGAATATGAAAACTTTTTTTTTTCTATTGAAATTACCATTCATTTACCTATTATGAATGGTTCATTAAGAAAGAATGGTAGAAAAATTAAAACACCTTTTTCTTATTTTCCATTGAATTACATCAGCTTTCTTTATTCTATTAATTCAATCTCTTTTTATATGACTCGCGTACGCGAAAAGCATACATAAACATCAAATTGTTCCAGTAATTTGAGTACTCATACTCGCTTGATGAGTCTTTTCACTAGGGAAAAGTCATTTTAAATATCATCTCAAATTTTTTCAGCTACGAACAATGACTATAAGTTAAATATGATCAAATAGAAAAATCCCATGATTCAACCGAGATTTTTCTTCGTTATAGAAACTATATTGCTTGTTTGACTTAACTTTCTAGTGTATTACGCTTTGACATAAGAAAATTTCAATTAACTTTACCATGTAGTTCAAACATCTATGGACTTAGTTACCATATTCTTGATATATGACAAAGTTTTTCAATGATTTACTGATCTGTTAACATCAATGTCTCTCAACTACAGT